AACTTAAGTTGTTAACAACACATCCGGTTAACTGACGTCTAGTAGAAGTTAACTCTCAGTCTTTACAAAGATATGAACCAATTTAAACACCTTGTTACCTGTTCAACTGGCGCTAAGAGGAGTTTAACACATTTATACACTTTTTACTCCACATTAAATACCGGAAGCTCTACTACCGTTTGTGTGTTTCTGTCAAGTTATGCTGACCACCTGAGACAGGTTCCTTTCAAAATAAAACACAGGAAACACCACAATAAAAGCCTTAACGAAACAACTTCACACAGTAGTCTCAAAGAAACAGAACAAAGATGGAGTCAGATATTTACATAAATTAATTTATTTACATGTTGACAGAATTGTATTGTACAAACACACATGACACATGACTTGTTTCATGTTAACTGTTGTTGTGGTTCCTCTCAGTCCTCATTGGTGGTCTCTGTTCAAAAAGGATCCTGTTCATCTGACCTGGACCTCAATCAAACCTCACATTTCACTCTTTAACCTCGTAGTCAAGTGTTGAAGCTGTTTGTGTTTCTGAAGGTCAACTTTCAGTCAGAACAATAGGAATAAAAGATGTAGCTCAGTATATCAGTCACATATTCATCAAACAATCACCTGATTCTGGTTCAACATGTCACTGCTTTATATTTCACATCACATTCACATGAACTGGAATCACATTTCGACAAAGTCAAATGATTTGTACATTTGTCTAAAGTTACATGTTTGTGATCTATTTGCATAAATGTGTGGAACCTGATTTTATCTGAAACAATAGAATCGACTTGTTTTAACTGAAAAGAAAATCGGACAAGTCCTGCATTCACAATGAAAGTAAAAGTACTAAAGCAGTGGTTCTCAACTGGTCTCGCTGTGGGACCCACCATCACCCCTTAATGACAAGCCGCGACCCAAATGTTCAACTTCTCAAATGTCTTCAATGTAAAGATGGAGCAGTTTGAACCTGAGCTGAACATGTCCTCTGCAGTCGTAGTGTAGGAGATCTCTTGTGCAGAGAACTTGTTCCTGTATGTCCCACACATGTTTCACGCAAACGAGTAAAACTGCTTCATGCTTTTTTGTGCCAGAACCTCGCTGCACAAAACACACTGAGGTTTTTCCCTCTTTTGTCCTCAATGTAAGAAAATCCATATCTCATGTAGTCGGTGCCGTTCTTGCGTTTCGCTCAAATAGCATGAAAACAAACTTTGTGGGTGTTCTTGTATGCTGTGAAATGGCGGGTGTATATTACCATTACAAGACATTAACGCAAAATACTGTTAAGGAGAGTGAATAACTCCGCTGCGTAAAAAATCCCCTTCAAAATAAAAGCACAGGAAAAAACAATCCTTTTTTTTTTTTTTTCTTTCAGGCAAAGGCCCGCGACCCTCTGAAAATGAGTCTGCGACCCACTTTTGGGTCGTGACCCACCAGTTGAGAATCACTGTACTGAAGTATTCATTTCTGAGTTTCACCGAGGGATCAATAGAGGTTCATTGTTTTCTCCATAATGATATAGAAAAGTGATTTATTTGTTGATTATATTTTGTTCTATTGATCTGAATCTGATCGTCAGCAGAGTGAGTTTTTATAGAGGAGACTCTCCCTCCACAGAACACAGACACTGAACCAGACCAAGGACCTGAACCCAAAGCCAGGATAAAGAGGTTCAGTGAATGTGGTGTTGAAGGTGTGGGTGTGGATCAGTGTGTCAGAGGAGACTCTGTAGGTTATTTATATAAACTATTATATAAACTATTTGATTTTAAAGCATCTGAAAACTATTTGTCCTTCTTTGTAACATCCTCAGATGTGTAAATAGTGTTTTATATTCGTGACAGTCATGTGATCGCAGTCATGTGATTATTATTATTATTATTATTATTATTATTTGTGATAAATCAAACTTAATCCAGGACAAGATGTTTCCCTCTGGATGTAATTCATAATGTGCTTTCCTTGTATGTGTTGTAACTTCTAGGTTTTTATAATAGTTCCTCTCTAAGTTATGTCACATAAAGTACGTTTAAAGCAGATATAATATATATATATTCATGTTAACAAAGGATCACAGTTTTATAGCCTCTTTCAGCTCTTTGTTCTGGATTTACAGCGTTACTGTTTAGGTCGCTCTCATCAGCTGGAGAGACCCTCTCATCAGTTACACACACACACACACACACACACACACACACACACACACACACACACACACTCACACACACTCAGGCTTCAAGATAATTAACCACAGAGACATTTAGGAGCAGCCTAGTGGAACCGGACCACTGCCACAGAACCTCAGAACCTCAGGGGCAGAGAAAGCCTCCGTCTGGTGACTCTGCACATTAGAGCCTTAATAAAAGCACACAAAGACTCTTTCTCTGCAGAAGCAGCCTCAGCGCTCATATCATCTGTTTTCCTTGATGAGTCCAGTCGCTTCGTCACCGGAGCTCCTTTCATCACTCCACACCTGCAGATGAATCCCATGGTATGAGTTCATCTAAAGTCTCTCTGATTAAAACCTGACAAACAAAGGAAGCTGAAGCTCCTCCTTTAATCCTCTGCCTCTGATCTCTGCTGCTGCTTCTCCAGGATCACTGTATGTTTCACATTTGATGATGTTGTAGTTTTATGAGGTGGTTGCTTCCTCTTTGACCATGTCATCATCATCATCATCAATTAGATATGAAATACAGTAAAAAGTACAATATGTACCTCTGAGATATAGTGGAGGAGAGGCAGTAAGTAGCAGAACATGAAAATACTCAGGAAAGTACATTGAATCAGTACTTGAGTACAGTACTTACTGGAGTAAATCTAGACTACTTCTTTCCTTCCATCACTGTAAATATGTTGCACAACAAAGTACAATGTCTACAAACTGAAACGTTGTGTAGTGAGAGTTTAAAGTAGTACACTTTAAGTAAAGTACTGCTTCAGTAGCAGATATGCCGCACATGCGCAGACCACCGCTGCTGACGCGCTGACACCGGTACTTACGTTAAAGATGGCGTCCCCGGCTGCCCGGCTCGCTACACGCTGGTTGTCGACAGGACATGACCGCAGCGGTCGCTTTCTGAATGTCTCCGCCAGACATGCAGGAGTTTGTTCGGGGACGATATCGCGGACACACCGGGGGGGGTCAGCGGTCGGCCGGAGCTCGTGGACACCCGGAAGTGTCGTGACATTGGGGAGACTGAGAGGTGAGACAGCTAACTGTTAGCATCGTATATATGGTGAGCATAACATCCTGAGAGTTCAACTAGTCACCGAGAGTTCAACTAGTCACTGTTCGTTGTGGACTCAGTCTGTTTACACGCACAGAGCACCGTCTTCACAAGGGTTTAGATGTTAGTGTGCAGCTAGCTAAAGGCTAGCATCCTCTGGGGGTAGTTAGCATTGGTTTGACTGTGATGTAACTGCTCTCTGTTAGTGTGTAACAGCATGATTACGCCAGTAACGTTGCAGTGACGTCAGTAACAATCCATGTTGTCTCTTATGTGCATTCCACGAATGCAATGAGTTCGGACCTTGTTATTGATTGACTGCTAGCTTCTTTACGCTTTTCTCGGGGCTGTGCACAGAAACAACGGCTCACATTGCAGATACGTAACGAGAGATGAATGTGCAGTAGGACTCCTGATCACACGGTCCCCTTTGGATCCTTTCCTCTGCAGGCTCCAGATGTCCCCGTGGTATCACCGGCCACTCTTTTCACACCAGCAGCCGGTCGGCCAACAAGCAGGACTTCTATGAAGTGTTGGGCGTCTCCCGCACTGCGGCACAGAAGGACATCAAGAAGGCTTACTACCAGGTCAGAGACCATCGCTGTGTCACACGTACCTTAAGAAGAAGGTTGTCATTCTCTACGCTCATCATTCTTCATGCTCTTTGTCCAGTTGGCAAAGAAGTACCACCCGGACACCAACCCAGAAGACCCCGACGCTAAGGAGAAGTTTGCCAAGCTGGCTGAAGCCTATGAGGTACAAAGCCCTAAACGTGGAAGATTTGGAGCTCATTTAGTCCCTTTATAGCGATCTTAAAGGGCAGTAGAATTGGTCATTTATGATATGCAGTCATTCAAGCTCAAACCCAAAATGTCACTGTGGTTGTTCTTGTGTGAAGGTGCTGAGTGACGAGGTGAAGAAGAAGCAGTATGACACTTACGGAGCGGCAGGCTTCGACCCCGGCCGCGCTGGTTCAGCAGGCCAGCAGCAGTACTACAGGGCAGGGGGGACCAACATAGACCCCGAGGAGCTCTTCAGGAAGATCTTCGGAGAGTTTACTGGAGGAAAGGGCTTCGGAGACATCCACAACATGTTTGAACAACGGCCCGAGGTAAACCACACCTTCACACGTAGGGTCTTTCTATTTATAAACCTTTTTGTCTTTGATTCTTAGTCAAACATTCGAGCATTGAATGGAGCAGGTTGTCGTCCGTGTGGATGTCAGCGGTTTGATTGTAAAAGCAGTGTACCGTTTCCTCCCACAGTTTGTGATGGAGCTTACGTTTTCAGAGGCAGCAAAGGGCGCGAACAAGGAGCTGAGTGTGAACATTGATGACGCCTGTCAGAGGTGTGATGGGAGGGGCAACGAGCCAGGCACCAAAGTGTCTCACTGTCACTATTGCAACGGCACCGGCATGGTGAGTGTCAGACCAGCAGGTGGCAGCAGAGGAGCTCAAGCTATTTGAAGCTCTTCAGACTCGTTCCATTAGTCTCCTCTCAGGGTTCCTCACTGCTCCACTGTGCCGTCAGTCAGCCACCACTCATCACCTTACTGTCTGTGGCGCCCCCTGCAGGAGTCGGTCAACACGGGTCCTTTCATGATGCGCACCGCCTGTCGACGCTGTGGTGGGAAAGGGTCGATCATAAACACGCCGTGCGCTGTGTGCCGAGGTTCAGGACAGACGAAGAAGAGGCAGACGGTCACTGTACCTGTTCCTTCTGGTAGGTTTGATTCAATAAGTCATTCATCAGTAAACCAACCATTCAAATTGTTGATGGGTAAGGAGGCTCCTAAAGTGTGATTTCATTTCATGAATGGATGGTTAGCCTGTTGATTATTTGGAAGAGAGAACCTTAAATTGGTTCTTAAAGTTAAAAGTAACAGTTGATTAGTGTCTTTTCCTCCCAGGCTGCCTTTTGATCCTATTTTCATGCAGTGGAGAATTGCTTCCCAAAAGAAATGCCATCATAGCGATAGTTTTTAAAACGTCCGATTAATTGGCCGATCTGTAACCCAACAGTGTTGTAAAGTCAAACTGTTTTGAAAAGATCATTTCCAATATTCACAACATGTTTCTAACGAAATATGATGCTAACACTCCGCTCTCCAGCTCGCTGCAAACAGAGAGAGGTCGCACCTCTAATAGTACCATGAATTACATTAATATAACAACAACAATCTATTTTATTCCTTTTCTTTTTTTTAACCGTAATGACGTCATAAAATATGACAGTCAAAGCTTCAATCTCTAAAAACCTCAATAGCAGTTTTGAATGTAAAACAATGACATTTGTACAGCCAGATTATTTAATATTACTCCAGATTATGAGTCTGTGTAAACCTTCTCTGACTGCTGTTGGATCTGGAAAATGTTATATAACGACATACATCTTGGCAAAAGTAATACTTTTTTTTGTGACGTCTCCTCACAGGAGTGGAAAATGGTCAAACAGTTCGCATGTCAGTCGGTAAAAAAGAAATCCTCATTACATTCAGGGTGAGTTTTCTTTCTCCTTTGAAGTTATTGAATTCTGGCGACGTATCGGGAGTCTGAAGTGTTTTTATCTGAAACTTCTCGGTGCAGGTTCAGAGAAGTCCGGTGTTCAGGCGCAACGGAGTAGACATCCACTCAGACGTGTTGATCTCTGTAGCTCAGGCTATCCTGGGGGGAACAGCAACGGCACCGGGCCTCTATCAAACCATCAGTATAATGGTGAGT